TTTTATGTACTCCATGATCGAATTTTATGTAATCCATGATTGAATTTTTTGAAAATTTGTGATTTTTTTTTTTTAATCCATGATCGAATTTTTTTTTGTAACCCATGATAGAATTTTTTGAAAATTTGTGATTTTTTTTTTAATCCATGATTGATTTTTTTGAAAATTTGTTTTTTTTTTTTTTAATTCCATATTATTCAAAGAGAAAATGAGAGAGATGATGATTTTGAGGCCACCCTATCCCAGCCATATTATTCACATATCGAGTCCCAACAGCAACAGTGTAGGGATGAGCACGAAATACTGTAAAATAAATGCTGAATGGCGGTTCATGCAGGGAAAGAACATATCAATATTTGCATATTCATTCAAAAACATGAAAATTCTTAATGGAGTACCCTCATTTTTTATTGAATTCCTAAAAAACAATATTTATCATAAATTTTAATAATTTTTTCGAATTTTTTTTAAGCTTTATTCTGACCGATTCACCCGAGTCCCCATCCGGATCGCCGATTCACCGATCCGGATCGGTTTTTTGGAAGCCCAATCCGGGGTCACCGATCCGTTTTTTAAACCATTGGGAGAGGGTGTGGTTTTTATAAGGTCGCAACCTTAAACAGTCCAATTAAAGCGCACCTCTAAATTTTATCGTAACATATAATTTGGGTATAAAAAATTATTAGGATTTTTTCAAAATTTATTTTTATATAAAATTTTAACCTCCAAAAATGATTAAAATCAAGTAGTTCTATAAACATATGGAAATATTGAAAATAAACGGTCTCGATAATGTGTTGCCAGATGCCCTATTTTTGGGACTCAAAATCGTTTTTTTTTTCTTCATATTTATACATCTCAATATCGAGATAATCAATTTAGAGAGTTGAAAACTATTAAAACAACCTTTTCTGATGGATTTTTTAGTTGCATCTTTAATTCTACATTTTAAGATTTGCAACCTTATATAAACTTTTGAGACTATTGGGGTCAATTACTAAATGGGCTCCTATTTGCCAAAAATTACGAGCACCCCCATTGGCTTTTTTTTTCGAAGTTACCTCAGTATCCAAATATCAGACAGGTGGGGTTTATATCTTTCAAAGCAAAAACAGTTGTCTGGTATTCGCATTACCAAACAGCTGCCAGTTATACGTCATTTTTGACGTAATTGTATCATCGACATGAATAAGAAGAGAGCCAGTAGTAACCCGGTCCCGCTGGTAACCCAAGACGCCGCCAGACCATGGGAACACTGTAAAAATAAGCCTAAAACTAGGCAACGTCTTAAGGAGTATTAAAATAGCTTCGAAATGCATAAAAATGATAATTTGGTATGCCCGACGGACGCTCACAAAGTTTCATTACATTATGATAAGTTTTGATATGATTAGAATGAAACTTGGTTTTCAAATCCAATTCCTTTCATGCTGAAAATAGACTTTCTAGGTCTCAAAATAATACCAGACCACCGCCATTAGATCCAGAACTTCGATAAACCCTCAGGGACCAAATTTAGGCTCAATCGAACCTTTTGAGGACCATTTTAAGCCTAAATTACTATAAGAGGGTGGGATTTACACTATTGCGATGCAGCCTCGGTCTTTCCATTTTTGGAAATTGTGTTTTCCCAATTCGAGATGATTTTCAAATGCTCATAACTTGCTCGTTTTGAGTCCAATCAAGCTTAAATTCGGACACAAGCTAGGTCTCGACGACCCAGTCATTTTGACATATGGTATGCGTTATAACATAGCTCGAAACGAGAGAATTTCTAGAGAGAATATGAGCTCGAAAGAATGAAAAATCAGATTTTCTATAAGAAAACATCTCATACTTCGTGAAAGCCATAAGTCAAGATCCTGGTGTCGAATCATCACAAAATTAGGTCCGTTGTGGCCGTATCACAAGGGGCTACAGTTTGGTATAATTTTTAGGCACAATCGGAGGCTGAATAGCACAAATTTCAAGTTTGAAAGAGACAAGATTTTTTGGTGGCCGAAATCCCATTTTCCGTTAACTTCCCAAATTTGGAATATACTTAAATGAATACCAAATTGGATGAAATTTATTGCAAAATGATTGTGACAATGTCCTCTTCAATTTGTGATTGAAATGAAGACTCAAAACGTCACAGATCGTATCGGATTGGTGCTTGAAGTTTATGAACTTGGTCGGATATTTGGTTCCTCCCAAAGAATCTGTTTCAAGATGATCAAAGAGTATCAAAATGTTCGTGATAGATCAAGCATCAACTCTACTACGATTGATTGCCTGAATTACTGCCATAGCCTCTGAAAAAGCTCCTGAAGTCTAGTTATGGCAAGAGACCCCTCATGGAGGGATGGTTTTGTCATTTGTTAAAAATAACTAAGGGGTATTTTGGTCATTTAGTCTAAAAACAATATTTAATTTTAAATTCATTAATATGTAATTTTTGACAATCTTGGTTACTTTTGAGCATTCCACCCATGTTTTGTGATTGCTATATATAGGTGAACCTAAGTCATTTGTAATGGAGCTTGGAAAAGCTTGATCAATTTATAAAACTTGAGCAATTTCAGAGCAATTTTAGCTTTTTGTTTTTGCTTTGCTTCTAAGTTCTTGATCAAGTTGAGAGGAGAGAGAAACTTTTGGTAGAGAGATAAAATACCTCTAGACTATACACCACACCCTAGACCATACACTCTAGCCCCTCATTAAAGCATACACTAGTCCACACCTCTAGTCCATACACACCATACTTTAACCTTAACCCAAACCTAA